GTGATCTGCTGCCTGGTAACAGGTATGGAGATCTGATGTCAAGTTGTACTTATCAGAACTCGTATTTTTACCAGGCAAGTACTATTAAAAGCGAGATAAAGAGATAAAAGCTGACCATGAATCACAAGCTAAAATATGCACAATGTCATACAGAAAGTGTAAACACATGAAGCAGGTCCTGTTTTAGGCAAATGGGAACATTAGAATTTCTGGTAAATGAGAAAGTGCATGCCACATTTGAGTCAGGAAGAGCATGTGAAAAGGCAAATTATAATTAGAAGAAAGATTGTGGAGCACAGAATCAGCAAGCAAAGAAATTAGCTATAGTAGTTCATTTAGGGAATTCTTGGTCAATAGTCAGAAAATGGGCTTTTATTTACCAGATCCCAAATTAAGTAATTTAAGGCAGTAAATAAAAGATTCAGAACTCCAAGATGCAAAATTGAGTAAAAAGTGTTTCCAAGAAAAATTTGAGTAAAGATAGTATAAACAATAATCAGATAATTCCTACACTACACAGCACTACACTGAGGGGAGGGAGAGGCACAAAGAGCTCCAGCCACAACTGTGTTCCTTGGGGTAACCCGATCATACTTCCCAGGGCACATAGGAACCTATTACTCTTTAATAGCTGAGATGCTTGACTGTGATGTCATTTAACTTCAAGTTTTCTTTTCTCACTTGTGGCACTGAGAAGGGAGCTTCTTCCTTTACACAATAGATATTGCAAAGGAACACCACATGCAATATATACTTTTATTATTTTTCAGAATAGCTCATGTTTTTTTATCTTTTCCCTTTTATAGCTAATATATATTATCTTTTTTAATGGAACCAGCCAGGCCTTGGGTGTTTCTGCATGAGGATCACTCATGAACATTCATCAAGCCCATCTTTTTCCAGATTGTCACTTGACAAATGGCCATGAGACTTGGATTATGAGATGAAATTTTTCAAGTTTCTTAGCACTGTTATCTATTTTATCATGAGATTAAGTTCTAAAACACCTAGAGTTATCAGAAAATGTATAAAGGCAGTTTTTT